TTGTTTCCATGGTTACTTTCACTGCTGAGTAAGTTCTCTGGTGTTGATTGATGCTTATGAAACTTTCTTGTCTGGAGGCTACTTGGCAGTGGAAAATGTACAACTCAGAGGTTTTAAAAATAAGAAAGTGGGATTTCACAGGACCTTTCCTTGTGTTTTAGTTTGACATCACTGAAAAAACTTGAGATATCATCTTCCTCCTATTCCAGAACTGGTGTTTGTCTGTTTTACGTTGGGGTAGAGACCGAGAAATCTAATGTAAACTTGAGGTATTGTTCTGGTAGCTAAAATATTTGAAATTACCAACCTTAGTGATTTTTTAGTAACAAATAATTTTGGTTTTCTGTGTGCATCAGTGTGTGGCACCTGATGGTATTCAAGCATTGTAACAACTTGTATTTTGACAGCTATTACTCATGTATTTTTCTAGTATTGTTTCCCTAATATCAAGCTGTGTGGAAAGCGTAATGCATCACCTTGTGGGTCCCACAGGCTCACTAATTTTAGGTCTGTCTTGTCATATATGTAGATCCAGGTATCTTATGGGAATTTTGCAGTAAGTTGGATGAACTGTGTAGATTTGGTCATCAGCCAAATTTATACAAAGCAGAAAATGCAGGATTAGGATACATTAAAGATACAGGATAGATTCAGACACTTAGGAAAGGATGATAAAAGCATATAAAATGGAGCTTGCCATCCCACACTATCACATGTGTAATTTAACTATAGGCAGCCATGAGTAACATTACTTGTGTGGCTATAGAACCTCCCTTTGTGCTGGACTGCCAGAATAATAAATTTTGTAGGTCCATTTAGAGAGCTCATAGGACCAAGAGGTAGAGGAGGTCATCTGCTGTGTCCAAGGATCTTGGCCTCTGATTTTGTCCTGTAACTCCCACTGTGCTATAGACCCATGAGCCTATTATAAAATTGCATGGGTATATATAGATACTCAAACCCCTCCTGGACGCGGTCCCATGCAGCCTGCTGTAGGTGACCCTGCTTTGGCAGGGGTTGGACTGGATGATCTCCAGAGGGCCCTTCCAACCTCTGCCGTTCTGGGATTCTGTATGTCTGAGGCAAGTGCTTTAGTGATGCTCAGTTGAACTGGATTGTCTCAGTGGGAACTTGGTATCTTGCAGTCATAACTGGACATGAAGCAGCTATTCCT